GGATTTATGAAATACAAATGAAATTAATCTTATGCTTTGAGCTTATAATTATATAATATTGTAAAGGAATGAAACAATACATCTATATATTTCTTTTTATTTATAAGAATAAAACATTTTTGTATTCCAACTGATGTCTGTCTGAACCTTCAGAAAGAACTGCGTAAGCATTTTGTATTTAATTGCATCAATGGTAGTTTGTTCAAAAGTCTAACACTAAAAATGATACTGAATATTTTCAGTTAATGTTACTACTTTCCACAGATTGAACTATTATGACTTTCTACCTGATTATTAGGGTTTAATAAATTCTCAGCCGATGAACTCTGGACAAAATCTATAGGCAAAAACTACAAAAATCTTAACAACAAGTACAGTTTAATTATGAAAGTCAGTCTGTATTAACATTATTACTAGTAACTTTAAAAATCTAAGGACTTATGAAAGATCACTAATGTTAGTTAAATCTCAGTCATGGTGTAGCTTAAACAAAGTCAATCAATTTTCAGTTTTTTCGTGGAATTTCTAGTAACATTTATAGATAAACAACAAAATACGACTAAAGTTCTTAAAATTTCTCAGCACTATGAATACTCTCATATTAGGTTTACAGTTGTCCATAGTTATTTCAAAACCTATTTTCAATCTTTCATAATTTCTAACTCAACAGTTATTTAAAGTACTTTGCGTAAATAGAATAACAGCTCTTAATATGACTCTAGATTACGGTCAATTCAAAAGTCATAAATCCTATTTTAAATAAGTTGTGAGAGTTTTTATATTCCCTTGGCACAGAAGCGTTAATTTTTAAGTAATTTAAAAACAGATGCCATGAAAGAATAATTGAAAACGTCAAGTGAAAATGATCTGAAAGTATATATATATATTTCTTCAACTTTATTTGAAAACTTTAATATCAGTAGTTGCGATCATGAGTCAGTTGAAGCTAGACCATCATGTAAAACCTGGAAGCACTAGACAGCCGTTTCCTCCTATTGTGGGACTCCTCAGCAGCGCGCATCCACGACACAGGACCTATCAGTCGCGCGTACGAGCGCTTAACCACTAGACCACTGAGCTGGCATCCAACGGTGTTAGGATGAAACGGCCGTCCAGTGCTTCCAGGTTTTCCATGGTGGTCTAGCTTCAGTTGACTCATGATCTCAACTATTGAAATCACTACAATCTCCACAAAACCCCTTCTGAAACTTAAATATGTTTATAATTATTTCTTCTGTTTGGCGATTTAAGCATGGGGGATATAGACCAATTTCAATAATATTTCCAACTCCAGCCATAAGTTTCCACCACGATTACAGATTTTGCAATCTTTACTGAGCATTTTATTTTGAAATCAAGGTATACTTCAGTGATTAACTCGCTGTACTCTGTAAATATCGTCTTTCTTACTTTGTGTAACTTATGAAGAAAATCAATTCAAGTAGATATGAAACATAAGATCTGCACAGAGTTAGCTGCAACGTCGCAAATTTGTAATCAAATCTCAAATTTTATTCTATCTGCACAATGAGTTAGTTGCATTTCAATAAGCTTTCATGAGTCTAATCTATTTTGTGGTATTTTTTTCCTATTTTTTCTAGATAACCTGGGGCAATTCAGCATCGAATATTCTGTTTTTATTAATAAGGCAAAAGCGCATTGCGAGATTTAGATAGAGTCTGCGTTTCAAAACAATTTGCCGTGATAATGCCTTCCACAAACACAATCTAGCTGAAAACACTACGAATAAACTGATAATCTGAAATCTTCGGATAAGTTTTCATTCTATCAAACGATGATGAATTCAAATGAACGTGATGTAATGATTATCCACTTACCGTGATATTTTTCAAACAATTCCTATAAAGGCTGAAAAAGTAGTCATTTTGATGATTCCAAAAACTTTAATGACAATAAAATTACTTTTGATGGTTGATCTATTCATTAATTAAAGACATTTATTACGTTTCATGTAGGGCTTCGGTTGACTCAAGACAATCAAGTAAATGTAGACAGTATCTTATTTGCCTGTTACGTCAGTTGCAAATGAATTACAGTCTGTTTTGAAAGCAGAAGATTTTCTCTGAACGATCTACTTTCATTTTTGTTTAGAAATCAGTGTGAATAAACGATTAAGATGTTGGTTGAAATGATGTTTTTGGAGAAATGTGGATTTGAGTTGGAAGGGAATGCATTATTAGGACCACTAAATATGAGCTTAAATCGATGTTCTGGTCATTACATACACAAATGTTTGTCCAGGATTCTCTTATAGAAGAATATACTTCAATAACGTGTTGAAATATTATTTCAAATAAATAAATTTTGCTTTTTCGAATTTATAAAAAGAAGTATTTATATGAAACTTAATTTAACTGAGTGATACCTACTTCAGTCATCGTAGTGATTGAATAAGCGATGTTACGTATTAGTCACATTTAAATTCTGTTATAACAATAGGACTTTACGTTTTATTCTATGGAAATTTGTGATGATTTATGTTAATTTAACAGTCCTAGTCCGCGGATTTATGAAATCGTTTAATCCAACTAAATGAATTAATATACTGAAAAATACTTTATCCATTATGAGAGAGTATTTCAATATGAGAAGTAGGTGAACCTTAATATAACTGAACTATCCACGCTCACTGATTATCTAAATATAGTCTTACCACATTTTCAGTTAAATTAGACCTTTATGTTTTCTTATATGCTTCAACAATTAAGTTTTCACCATACTACATTAATGTTCTCTTAAAAAAACATTTTCTTATTCAGTGGATGAAATTTAAATTCAAAGAAAATGAACTAACAAATAATTGATAGATCGTCTAGATTAAGGTAATCCATCAATGATTGGAATAATTTTGATTTCGGCGCTTGTAATGTATAAATAAATTAAGCCTCTTAATTTATTCTTAATAGGTGCGAAATTTACTTAGCTTTCGTCTCCTAAAACTACGCAGTTTAATATTATGACAGCCGATGTTTCTTATGGTTTATCAGAAAAGCAAAGACGAATAATTTGTTTTAATAAGAAACGTAAAGTGATAATTATTTTTAGTTACATATCGATTATTTTACAGTTTCTCAGTTATATATATATATATAGACTAACTCGTAACAACACATATTTTCATAACTAACGCAAAATCTGTCAACGTTTCAGTTCACCGTGTTTAAAATACTTTAATTGAAGTTAGACGAAGCAAGTTCCCAAAGATGAAAACTTTCTTCTCTAATTCAAGATCATTTACTTGTAAGTAATATTTCCAATCTATTGGTAGACATGTTGCTCTTTTTAAAACGTCATTTAATTGATAGATAATAACTTGGTGAAAAAGCAGGGTAGAATAAATTCCACCATCAAAATTCCTGACTTATCATTAAAGTGATCAGTGTTCTACTTTCATGAATTGAACTCCCTAAAACCGTTTAATTACAATCCATTAGAACATTTGAATGATGCTTATTTAATTTGGTCACATAAAAATCATTCAAGTATTAAAACATTTAAGATTGAACATAATTCAACAATAATCATTGTAGATAAAGTCCAGCAGTCGGATCTTGGATGCGTATTCCATCACAGTTAGAAATCGCCAGCTAGATATACCTGCATCCCTGTGTTGATGTTCACCATGGGATTCCAATCCATTTTCTTTCATTTCCAACCTCATCATGTTATTCACTTAGTTACTGAGTTCAGACAGCCTTTGACTTGTGAAATGAGATCAATTTTAATTTGTATACATTGATTGTTTAGATCTTCCTATGGATATTAAAGACTATAATTGATTAGTATCTAATTAATTACAATTCACAACATCAATAAGAAGATTTAAAACAATCAATAAAAAAATGAATACTCATTATGATTTGATAAATTAATCTATTTTAAACCAGATATAAATGAATCAATGATATTCTTTTCTCAAATGAGTGATCAAGTTTCTATATTTTGATTCTCTCCTCTAAACAAATCATTGAATTTCTAGATAACAATACAACAACAAATATTTGTGTACATATATTACTGATTAAAAAAAAAGAAAAAAGAAAAGAAAAGAAAGAAACAATCATGGTTACATGAATTGATCATATTGTGAATAGGATTTCAAAAGAATAATTCACACACAAATTACATTGACATAATCAAAAGAAGAAAACAAAACGAAAACAAAAAAAAGAACAAAACGATCATATTACACAATTTCACAACAGATTTACTTCTGAGAAAAAAAGGGTTTACCTTCTTTTGTTTAAAAAAATTATTATCTCAAAACATAATTAAATCGTTTGTCTGTTTTCCAAGAAAACATACATAGAAGAGAAAAAAACCAAAAAGAAAACTAAACAAAACAAATAGTCGATAAGTTATCAACAGTTTTATGATGTAACATGTGAATAGAATTAAAAAGTTCATACTTAAACAAAATTAAACGATATATCCCTTACATTACTGAACTTTTTAATCAATACAAATTGAAATGTACACATAAAAAATAAGACCAAAAATATAAATAAACAAACAAACAAACAACTTAGGAAGAACATTTGGATCAATAAAGAAAAACAAACAAACAAACAAACGAAACCAATGAGAGGAACAAAACATTTTTTTATGAATATGATTATATTACTGATGTATTTAAAATGTTTAGTATAATCTATATTTTAAATTCTTTTATGTTTATGCTTAAGATTTAATAAAATATAAACAAAAAGTTAACTGTTATCATTTGTACATCATTTCTATGTACGATATATATATATATATATATATATATATATATATATATATATATATATATATATATATGGTGTAGTTTTATTTATTTATGACCAAGTCTTATTTATTTTTATTCTGTTATTTTTTCTTTAAAATAAGTTTATAAATGACTAAATGTTCACAATTCAATATTCAATTTAGATAAACAAAAAATATTAATAAGTTATTATTATTATTATTGTTATGATGTTTTGTAGATTCATTAACAGATTTTCTGTGAGATTTTTTTGTATTCACCAAATAACACAAACATTTTAAATAAATAAAGCATAAAATTATTATATTAGTTGATTTATACAAAGAAACTATATAATAATCAAGTGATTTATGTAATTCAAATCATTGAAGACATTCAAAGAGAAAAAAAGTGAAATAAACATTATGATTTCAATGTTTTCATAGATACTTATATCCAGTCATTGTGTATTAGTAAGACGTATATTAAAAGGTGTATGCAATTGAAGAAACGGTGGAAGATTTCATCTTACTTGAATTAGTTAGTTTGTTTGTCGAATTTATAGCCTGAAAGTTGATATTTCACTTGATTGAAACTTTTTCGAACTACATATGAATTGTTTACAAGTAAACATTTGGAAAAACAAATAAACTTACAGGCAGATTATATAGTTAATAATCTGTAAAAAAGTAATGAAAAATAGAATGAATTTTAATTTGTTATTTAGTATTAAAAAATGTGATTGTGATATGTTTGAAAGTCTTGATATAGAATAAAATAACTGTGTCAATACATTAAAGTCTTCATTAATTATTCATTTGATGTTAGTTCATAATGAAAATTAACTAAACTATTAAGAAATAATTTCTGGAAAGTTCAATACAATTCATGAATAACATAATGGAACTAAATGCACAAAATAACATAAAATGTATCAAACAACCTATTTGCATATATACATCACAAACCCTATTAAGGTTCGAATACATTTCCATTTCGTCAAGATAGTAATGAATAAAAGACAGTGAAGATATTTTTCTAAAACACACTAACAACATTTATATTAATAATAATAATAATAATAATAATAAATAAGGCTAACAAGATTGATTAAGAAAAATTTCGATTCATTGAGGAGGTCAGGTAAAAGAATTGTTTTCATTTCCGGTAGTTTACAGTAAACTACCTAATCATTATTCTGATGGAAATTTCTAAAATAAATTATCATTCTATCTTGATGAACATTCAATTCACTGACATACTGAAGTAAGATATTTCACTGACATTTTTTTGTCTGACATCTTCGATGAAAAAGAATTTCAGTTACTCGGATACATAAAATGAGGCACTCTGTTAAACCATATACATATTTCTTGGTAATTTCATGTGAAATACATGGCATATGATTCAATTTGATAAGTTTCTCTACATTGGAATGAAGCCAAACTGCATTTTTATAAAAATAGTATACCAAGTCATTTGATTTTCAAAAGAGTATTGTTACAGTACATCTTGTACCTAGTGTACAACTTCATTCAAAAGATATATTTATTTTTTATTTTGAAAAGAATCACAACAACTGCTTCTTAGGATTACATAATTCATGAATTGGATAGTGCAGTTGTAGTGACTGTGCTTCGTTAAACAATCACTCTCGTAACCGTTACCATAAAATCCTGAACAGTTTTTGAAATCAGAAGGCAAAGAAAAGCGACAACTACATTTTTATCAACAGATAACTCAGACCACAAAGCAATGAGGCGAATGAGTCAGCGAACCGAGAGTGTAGAGTGTGAATGTGCATGTATATATATAGGGAAATGAATGGATCATCGAATCATTTAAGCAGCTAATAATAAAGCTAGCAGAATGAATATATGCGTACGCGGTAAGCAGTGTTCAAGCATATATATTTCATACAAGCACCACAAATAATGAAGGTACAATAAGTTGTTATAGTACGGATGACTTTGTCCGCCAAATAAGTTAACAAAAGGGCTTAGCTGAGTTAAATGGGGACAAACTCAATTGCACGTGAGTTGCTATACAGTTTTATATATAATATTACAATAAACTTCATTTACAATATTTCCGGTAAATATACGTGAGTTTTAGTTAAGAGTTAAAAAAAAGTAAATTGGCGAAAATTTGAGTGATTGAATTGAGGTTAATATTTTGTTAATCACCTATTATATACCTATATTTATATAGAACAACTGAAGAAAATCAAATATAGTTATTTGCTTCTTAAATCACTCATTCGGCTTAAATACACATATCCCTCCAATTATTGCATATAAATCCATTAAGTTTAATTTAAAGTTCAAGTTTATGTAAGACGTTTTCATTTAGGAAATTTTCCGTGAATACGGGCTTTAAATAAAATCAAAGCTCATATCCGGTTGTTTCATTGATTCCTGTATTTAAACTGTAAGGACTTATAACTTATTAATAGATTTCTAGAAATCTTAGGCATTATTTTCTTTTAAGACATTTAGATACGCTTGTCTATATATATATATTACTAAACTGACGTTTGTTACCCTTGAAATTCAATACATTACATAACAATATTTAACGTTATTTAGTCTAGCTGTTAGGGGTGATTAACTTCTGTCTATAGAACTAACAATGTGCACATGATCAAATTATATGGCAATGTAAAGCAATAATTATAAATATTAGATATTAATAGATGATTAATAAAATACTAACTTTCATACAATCACTTAAATTTTCGCCAATTTACTTTTTTTTACTCTTAACTAAAACTCACGTATATGTACCGGAAATATTGTGAATGAAGTTTATTGTAATATTATATATAAAACTGCACTATCCACTTCATGAATTATGTAATCCTAAGAAGCAGTTGTTGTGATTCTTTTCAAAATAAAAAATAAATATATCTTTTGAATGAAGTTGTACACTAGGTACAAGATGTACTGTAACAATACTCTTTTGAAAATCAAATGACTTGGTATACTATTTTTATAAAAATGCAGTTTGGCTTCATTCCAATGTAGAGAAACTTATCAAATTGAATCATATGCCATGTATTTCACATGAAATTACCAAGAAATATGTATATGGTTTAACAGAGTGCCTCATTTTATGTATCCGAGTAACTGAAATTCTTTTTCATCGAAGATGTCAGACAAAAAAATGTCAGTGAAATATCTTACTTCAGTATGTCAGTGAATTGAATGTTCATCAAGATAGAATGATAATTTATTTTAGAAATTTCCATCAGAATAATGATTAGGTAGTTTATTGTAAACTACCGGAAATGAAAACAATTCTTTTACCTGACCTCCTCAATGAATCGAAATTTTTCTTAATCAATCTTGTTAGCCTTATTTATTATTATTATTATTATTAATATAAATGTTGTTAGTGTGTTTTAGAAAAATATCTTCACTGTCTTTTATTCATTACTATCTTGACGAAATGGAAATGTATTCGAACCTTAATAGGGTTTGTAACGTACTCTTTAGAAAGAACAAGGGAATGATATCTCTAATGAGAACCAACTAGAAGCTCCGCTTTACAAACAATATTTACTAATCAGTAAAAACGATGGCTGAACAGTAAAGCATCTTCTTTATTTATCCAAATGCTATTACTAAATATGTTTACCGTTATGCATGTTCAACCATCAAAGTATGATCAATCTATGCGAACAAACTATTATCAGTGAAATCCATATGTTTTTTTGGGAAACTCCGGATATGAAAAATCGGTGAAACCAGAAAAGATTCATTTATCTCCTTTCAATTTGAAACTAAAATAGATAGTAAACCACTAGATTGGAGCCAACAGATTGTTAGAAACTTTTGTAAAATTTGTGTAAACTGTATAATTTTAAATACTCGGTCATAAAAACATCTGTGGTTGGTTCTAAGCGATTTCCATTCGAAGTTGCTTTCTTTTTTATATGATTAGGGTTGTAGTTCATTCTATACGGATCCATTGCTATAGTAGTATTACTAATATCACTTCGTAGGAACCTAAAAGTCGTTGATTATTAAAAGGTCAAACCTATAAGTGAAGTAAAATATAAGATAAATAGCGTACAAATTTTTAAAATATCTAAGAACAAAGATGATTGTTTATACAAATGCAAAATTATAATATTTAAAACATACTCATGTCAATAAATTCATTGCCTTAATCCTTTGCTTTGTAATGTAGATGGTAGGGTTAAAACAGTGGTTGCCATAGAAGTGGTTTCAGTTCCTGTTCCACCACCAGAACTATCTTCATCACTTTCTTCACTCTCACTAGGAGCTTCTAAACCAGAATGCAAAGTAAGTTGAATAGCTCTTGTTAAACTGACAGCTGGATAATAAATCCCATTTGGTAAATTAGTGAATGCAATTGGACCATGTGGTTGATCATTTAAATAATAAGATAAACTGCCTCTATTACAATCCAGTCGAATACCAACTACACTACCAGCATGTATTCCACCATCAGTTCGTTCAAAATGTTCTCCATTATGTAAAAACCAACTTCGTTTATAATCAAAATAAATCGACCAACTTTTCATATCAAGACCTAAAGTTGTAGAGAAGAGAAATATAATAGAAATATTTATATTGATTGTTTTCGTTCTAATCAATTGTTAATTCACATTATAAAAAAACTTTTTCGTTATGTTGCATCAAAATGATTGTGTTGTGACATTTGATGTTTCGCTTATAATTAAAGTAAATGGAAATTCGTCAGTTAGATTTTTATTTAACAAGACTAATGTAACATATTTAAATCCATATTTAAAAAGTGAGTTGATACATTTCAATATTACAGTGAGATTTTTAATGTACTACTCTATTAATTTGATCATAATACTAAAATCTAAGTAATAATTAACATCAGATGGGGGTTTTTGTGGATATTATATTAATTTTAATGGTTGAAACCATGAGTCAATTGAAGCTAGACCACCATGGAAAACCTGGAAGAATAATAATATTCACAAAACCCCTTCTGATACTAAGTACCATATCCTCACTAGTGACCGGCTTCAAGAGGTATTTCCTGGAGTTCTATTAATAAATAATCAACTTGATTTTCATTAGTAATCACACTTCTCAGAAAAGAATTTGCATCAGAGAATATTAAAAGTTTGCCTAACCTAATCTGTTTATTCTTTTTTTAGGAATTACATCAAGTTCATGATGATTTCTTGATAACAGACACTTATAGTTAGTTACTGAGTAAAAATTGATTAACAATCAGAATAGTAGTTTCCATTACGAGGACGTCATTCTTTATAATAATAGTGTTTTGAATAACAATTTTGAAAAAAAAATGACCGAAAAGAAATTTTTTAGAACTAGTATTTTTATGTTTAGTATTAGAATCCTGAACCTTCCTTTCATTCGTTTTGTGGCTTGTCAGTTGGATGTACCTACATTGTAGTATTATTATTCATCGTGAGACTCGAACCCAGTACCTTCCACTTCAAATACTAAAGGTTTCATCCATCAAACTAAAAAGTCCAGACAGTCATTCAAGTGATACAAGAAAAGTTCAACTTATTCTATTATTGATTATCTAAACAGGATTTTAAACAAATGCTGATGTGAATTCAGCCAAGATTATAAATAAGATAATTTAAATCTTTTCTTTTAATATTAAAAACGAAATGTTTAATGACTAAGTTTACAAAACTAAACTGAGTAGTATATAATGAAAAACTATAAATTGTTATATTGTATCATTATTAATATTATCATCATTATTTATATAATAATCATTTGAATAAACTTGAACACTACAACATTCATCCAAGATTGAATTAGAATCATATTATAGTCTAAAAATTATAAAAATAACTCATAAGAAACTATTATTTTTTGTTTAAAAAATTGTAATAACTATTCAATCTTGATAGTTCATTGAAGATTATTCATATGAATTAATGAAAACAAAAATTTTCTTAGACAACAAATGAATCGTGAAATTTTCATTTAAGTAATATGTTTTTTTCTTAATTTTTATTTTAACTTTGCATTAAATAAACAATTATTATTATTATTTGAATTCATGAATCAATTGAAGCCAGACCACCATGGAAAACATGGAGGCAATGGACGGTCTATTGTGGGACTCTTCAGCAGTGCACATTCACGATCCCGCCTCTCGAGATTCGAACACAGGACATATCGGTCTCATGCATGAATGCTTAACCTCCAGATCACTGAGCCGACCGACATCCAACAGTCTCAATGTCTAACTTCAACTAATCCAAAAAATTGAGGGACATATCCATTATTGTCTTCAGTGAGTTACTATCTCACAACAGACCCAGTTGAACTCAACTGTTCACTGTTTCTCATTAGAACTTCATGAAATACCTCTTGGAGACGGTCACTAATGAGCGTATGTTGATTCATAACAGAAGAGGTTTTGTGAATATTATAGTAATTTCATAGTTGAGTTCATGAGTCAAATAAAACTAAACCACTATGGAAAACCTGAAAGCAGTAGATGGCTGTTTCATTTTAATATGGGAAACCTCAGCAGTGTGCTTCATGAATTCAACTACTAAATTGCTATAATATCCACAAAATCTCTCTCTAATTATTATTATTATTATTATTATTATTATTATTATTATTATGGAAATACTAACATAATAATGTTGAATATTGTGCAATAATAGACAATAACCATTCTGATTTAGCTTATTTAAAATTAAAATCATTTCTTGATAAATAGCACACTCTTTGAATATCTCACTCTTACAGTAGATTCGTCTGGAATCGAATAGCCCAGTGATATTATCTAAAAATGGGTTCAAATCCCATGGAGAGCATCACTTTCAATACGATTACAGATGCAAATTATTGATAAATGTCATTCAGTATTGAAAGTAGATTTAGGAACCTTCTACTAATTCCAATTCAAGTGATTTCAATGCAAATAAGACAATAATTAATCATCAACATAATATGACGAAATATAACTATCTGTAATAATATTTTAAACAATAGTTGAAAATTGTTAATTAAGATAGATATTTTTGTATCATGGTTTCACATGAATTCAAGATAGATATTTATGAATTGTAGAAGTACTTTTCAAGTTGTATTTTGTCATTTTTATACATTTAATTTTCATTTATATGAATATTCTATTTTGTATTTATCAGAATATATCTCTGATCATACTTTATATCTGTTAACTAAATAACTGTTTATAACAGCTTTCTCTCTCTTAAATAACTCTTGTGTTCCTAATCTCTACACTTATTATATTTATATTCCTTTTTAAGAGAATGTCTACATATTTCAAAGTGAATTTCTTTGTTTCTATATAAATACTATACACTGTTAATGTAATAATTAAAACAAAACTATATGAATGATGGTTAAGTAATGAAATTAATTAATTTTGACAATTTGCGACATTACATACTATTTAGACAATTCACATGGTTTTTTTGTGGTTTGAAACTTTTATGTTACATCATATGTATAATAATGAGTATGTATTGTTAACTATTAGACAATGATTAAATAGTTGTGTTGTACTCTTTAGTTTCCCAATACCATTCCATTTAGTACTAATTTATGATGAAGTTTACCTTCAGTTAGCAGTTTCTAGAAAATTTATAAGTTTTTCTTAGAAGTTTCAAAATCAAATGAACAAAATTATGGATGATAATGGCGATGAATCATCTTATCTATTTAATCAACAAATTTGTTTATCTACATTTTATTTTTGATAAATTTAATAGACTAATACAATGATTTTCATAGTCTATTATGTCATACATTATTAGATGCTACTTGAAATCACGCAACATCAATTTATCAGTTTAATTGAAGGATTCAATGATTAAGTGATAATAATAAAGCAAAATAATGAAATGATAATAATTTCAATCAAGATGATTTAGTTATTATTGGTGATGATGACGAAGTTGATAACATAGTGGAAAATTTCTTACTATGAATGTGTTAATAATCTAATTTATTGATGATTCATTCATGAATATAAATGTATTCTCTAAGGTGTATAGTAGACATCACAAAGATCGTGAATAAAAGTAATGCAGAATTCAAATAAATACATAACATTATGATGAAAAGAATAAAGATTTATTTCTAAAAAAAAATGGGAGCTGATTCAAACAACACCTCTAGAATTTGCAACACTCAGTAGAAAAAAAAAAGAAAACCGATAATCATAAAAAAAGAATAAATAAAAAGTGCGAAAATGGAAAGAAAAATCCACTAAACCGTTGAATATAATCACATTGAAACTTATTTAATTCTATTCACTTTTAAGTAAGTAAACAGCAATATGGGGAGAAAATTCCAAATTATAAAAAAAAACACAACAACAACACATAAGAAGGAAATGTTTTTGTAAACCTTTCTATCCTTCAATAAGTTAAAATTGTATACTTGAAATTATGATTAAATAATGTAATTTGTCAGTTAATAGTGATAATGTATTCACTTAAGTTTCTTTCATTTTCTTTTCTTTTTTTGTTACTGAATATAAACGACAATATTCAATAGATTCATGAGTTAATTAACTTAGAATAATGTGAAAAGAAAAGAGTAAATTCTTAAGAGTATTACATCAATGAAATACAGTAGATGTAGTTTCGTATAAAAGTGATTAGGCAAATCTGCGTGTCTAGGGAATCGATGAGTCATTATTCGTTAGAAAATATAGTCGATTGAGTCCCATATTTGACTGAATTATATATATATATGTTATAAACAACGTTGTTATTGTTAATGATGTGAAGAGAAATGCTGAATCATCGAATAAATTTGAGTGGAATCTGATTCTCATTTAGATTTTGTTTTCCCCTTGCTCAGTTCATTCATTTTTCTGTAGAAAACGAATACTTATATTATTTTTTTTCTGTTTTTTTCGTCTCAGCATCAGCTTAAATCTCCTCTAATTAAGTTTTGTAGACAAAAATATAAAAAACATTTTTTTGTTTTTTGGAGGTATTCACTTTTTCAAAGTCATTCATAATTATTTTATAAGTTTTAGCCAACAATTAATGAAATGAGATTTTGTTTTTACTAAAAATCTCATTTCATTAAGTGTTGTTGTTGTTTTTTTTGTTTAAAAGAAATCCCTTTTATCAACTTTAAATGATCTTATCATATGATCTGATAGACGCCATAATAATTAAATATGTCACTTCATACACAACAATAATGTTTCAGATTCATATTGGTTAGTTACTTATTCCTAAGTTGTTAGTAGGAAAATATACAGTTGAAAAGTTATTGTTTAACTAATCTAAAATTAAGTTCAAAAGGTGTAAGCGATAATCAAGTTGAATAAATCCTATTTCAATTGACAGTTTTTCTCGGGAAGGTTTTATCATATTTTATTTATATATATATCGTTATGAATAGTAAATAGGTTACTTTTGGAATGTTACGACTCTATTAAACTACTAATTTTATATCTTTACTAACCTGAAAATGATCTATGGTAAATAAATGACACTACTATCTATAATCTGGTGTATGCTACTTATTCTGACAGATATTAGTAGTATGTAGCACCATTCGTAATTGAAATGTTTGTCAGTAGAATTTAATAATACATATAAGTAGTGAAACTATGGAAATAAATTAACATTCGTTTACTTTAATTTACAAGTAAATAAAGTTTGATTGTGACGTAATAAACTTTAATTATTCCGTTTTTATATATAAAATTTAATAATAAGATGGTGGAAAAGATTTGTAGCTCAGATGGATGATTTTGATCGAGTTTTGTTCTCTGAGCTGGATGGTTTGGTCGTGAAGCTTCCATTGTTCTTCTGAACGACATTATCAGCACAAATTTCAGATAGAAGTCGGACTTCTAATAGTTATATATGAGTTTACAACATTGACCGTTATGTCAATAACAAATAATCCTATTATTTTTCCCCAGCTGTATATCGCTATGATACTGAAATAATCAGTAATTAATAATTTATACAAAATTGACATATTTTAAAATAAATTCACGTAAAGAAATTTTACATCGAAACCTCTCACGTCTACTGTATTATAAAATAGATAATCAAACTTACATTGACAGAATAAATAAGCCAATATTGAGTTTAAACTTTTTTTGATTCCACAAAAATAATTTGAAGGAAATTTGAAGGAATGATGTGTAAATACCATTATTGTAAAAATAGAAAAATGATAAGTTAATCTAATAGTATCAGAATGAAGCAATGATGTCCAGTTTATTGATATCCACATTACCAACATCATAAACCATCATACTTTAGAAGGGTTTTTCGTAGACATCATAGCAATTTTAATGGTTTAGATCATGAGTCAATTGAAGCTTAACCACCATGGAAAATCTGAAAGAATTATAATATACACTAAAACCGCTTCTGATATGAATTGACATATGTTCACTAGTGACTGGCTTCAAGAGGTATTTCATGAAGTTCTAGTGAGAAACAAGGAACAGTGGAGTTTAAATGGTCTGTTGTGAAATAGTAACTCACTGAAGACAATAGTGGATGAATCCCTCAATTTTGTGGATTAGTTGAAATTAGACATTGACTGTTGGATGCTGGTCGGCTCAGTGATCTGTAGGTTAAGCGTTCGCACGCGAGACATAATTCCTGTGAATGCGCAGTGCTGAGGAGTTCCACAATAAGACGGAACCAACTTCCATCGCTTCCATGTTTTCCATGATGGTCTAACTTCAATCGACTCATGATTTCAACTATTAAAATATAGTTTTGTTTTTTCACAATGAGTAGAAAAGCTATATTTTTGTCGTTTCGTATTATTTACGTATTATTTAGTATGAAAACTTTAAACAGTAATTTATCTTACCACTTCATATTATTTTAACCAAACATCTTTATTGACAAATATCGTATTCGAGGAAAATTAATTTCAATCCCGAATGATTACTTAATATCTGTTCGAATAATTGAAACACTGAATATAATTAAATATACACTACTATAAATTACGGGTTTATAAACATTTAACGTTGTATCTGATCGTAAATCATGTATTATAAATAGATCGACAGTAATTTGTTTATTTACACATTATAGTGATAATTATTTACTTATATTCTGTAGGCTATTTTCATAATAGTCATTTACAGAATGTTTCATTCTATATTACGTAATATACCGTCAGCAAATGGTCTATTATTGTATCATTTTTACAGATCATAGAAACGAACAAAATTATTACAGATGAATAAACAATTATATAAATTAAGATGAAAATTAAAGGAAACTTGTCCATAGTATCACATCATGTTTCTTTCTTTCTGTTTTTTTCTAGATAATTAAATAGCGTTTGTTTGTTTGTGTTACAAACACAGAAAAAAGAATGACATGAAGACTAAAAAAATTTCATAAATATTTATGTTGTTGAAAATAGAATGTATAAAGCATACACATGAACAAATTTGTATCCTTTCAGTTCATTTGCACGTAATTCAAATAATTAGAAGGATAGAAGGAAAAAACGCCTTGAGGAGAAATTGACATAAAGAATAAATAAATAAATAAGAAGCGGATAAACTGTATAAGGGAGAGATACGGATAGAGAAAGAGTCACTTATGATGAAAATGGGAATATTTATTAGAAGATATATAGTGTAAGAGAATTTCTTCTATAATTTTACATTTTTTTTGTCTTTAATTATTTATGTTCAAGCATATAGTTTGTAAAAAGATAAACAATAACCATATTTAATTTATTATCTGCATTTTTACGTTGACATTATTTATTTGGCTGTTACATTTTCCTAATATTTACAACAAAGTTTTGACGGATCTTTTAAATTGATCCATTTTTGTTTTAGATTGGATTGGTTGAGGTTAGACATTAACACCATTGGATGCCGGCTCAGTGATCCAGTAGGTTAGGCGTTCGCGTGCGAGAGTAAATGCCCTGGGTTCAAATCCCGCGAGCGGGATCGTGGATGCACATTTCTGAAGAGTCCCAAAATAGGACAAAACGGCTCTCTAGTGCTTTCAAGTTTTCAATGGTGGTCTAACATTAATCGGTTCATCATCTCAATCAAAAAATATTATTTTAGAATTGAAGAGAATAAATAAATACCCTATCTTTTATTAATAGGTACAGCCATATTATCATATTGATCAGTGAGTTTTCGAGTTACATAATATCGATTTATAGAATAATAATTTGTCAGTTATGTAACTCACCAAGCATTATTTCTTTATTACAATCATATCTAGCTATACCAAATGCAGGTTGTCCACCAGGATCACAACGATCTACAGTGAATTCCCAATAATGTACACCTCTTGATAAACCAGTTGAACCAAGAATTACTCTATCTTCAGATAATTGACTAGTAACAGTTCTATTTCCATTTGTAAGTAAAATTTCTGGTACAGAAGTATGAATATCCAAATGAAACCAAGTAACTAATATAAAAAGAAGTAAATATAAAACAAATGAGTTAATTTTTAGAAAACTAAATAAAATTATATATTTTTAAAAGTTAAATATAAAACTGATTTATGTGAACGTTAAACTAATTTTAAATGGATCCGAAACCAAAACTTCGGTAGAGAAATAGCAATTAAGTATTTTGGTAAAATAAAGTTTTGTGAATTATACACAATTACGGTCTTGGGTTTCCTATGAAAACTTGATGCAAACCATTATTACACCATTCAGTTTTCTGTATTGATGGGATCTCATCAAATAAAATGCAACATAACCGTTAGTTTATGTAAATTAACATCATAATGTATTATATTTGATTTCAAATGGTAGACTTGTCATGCTGTTGAATGATAACTAGAATATAACCTATTTAAATGGTTATCCACCAACTGTCTCCATATATCTGCCATTAAAATAATCATTTCAGAATTTCCTTTGAGCTTTTTATCCATACTTATCAAACTCGCTGGAGACCTCATAAAATGGATGTCCCAAAAATGTCCTCGTTAAGGTTGAATTATATATAGAAACTTGAAACTATGAAACAAATAAAATGTGCAAATCACAAACAGCCATCAGTTTTTGAAACCGATAACAAACCACCTTTTTTCTCTCTTAATTTGTTTGACCTGGATGACATTTTTTATCAATATTTTTTTTATGGGATGGGGTTGCCGACCTCATGCCCAGCCCTCTTCCTTTACCCGGGCTTGAGACTGATAGTATTTCTAGTAGAGCTATAGGCGGAGTTCCTTTAGATTTATTCATACTACATCATTTGTCGTTAAAGACAAATATTTAATAATCATAATAATAACAATGATAACTTCATAAACAAAAACCCACATTCTTAAGTATTCTTCCTATTTTGTTAAGTATTTAATTTTCTTAAAAAGGGACGAAATACATAAATTAATGATACCGTTATGAATATAAAAACAGCAAGTAATTTTATAAAATTGGAAACTAAAAGATTTACATGACATTTCATTATACTGATTCAGCATTGTTTTTTCGCTTTTCTTTCTTTTTTTGGCATGTGTTTTTATAGAGCTTTCTAGAAAATGTCAAGAACCGGGTTTCATGTTCTTTTTGTTTTTACTTATTCTCATGGTATTTATATTGTAAAAATATACTCGATTTTTATTATGAATTCCTATAAAAAATTATCCTAGTTCTGTTGTGATTTTATTCTAATGAATAAACAAGTTGGTATATTTTGATAAGATAACTCGAACACTGTTAAAAATCTGAGAGAACTGTAAAGTTGTTTTAGTCTAATATGAAACTTTTCAGTGACTAAGGGATTGAATGTTTACGTGAGAGACCAAATAATCTGAATTCAACTCTATGTGATATGATTGCAAACACATACTGAGTACGAAACCTATATTAAGACGAAATAATTTTCCAATGCTTCCTGGCTTTTAATTATGATCTATTTAAGATCAGTTCATGTTTTTAAAACTATGAACAATAGAATTAGTCTTATATGAAAAAAATAATAAAAAGTCATAAAACACTAAATCTAAATGAATAAAGCGCTTGTTAATGGTAGATTTATATTTCCTACAAGGTAGATAAATTAACATAAACAATATGATTATCATAAAATAGGATATTTATGTTATGATCATCACAATTTATGATACTGAATGTGAATTAGTTTTATTTTATTTTAGAAAAAGGAATCTATTCTATCTTATTCAGTGCACTTTTTTATTGATACCAATATAGTTAGTAATATTGGAGTTATAGGTATCCATTCAAATTTTAGTTGATTTTCATAGATTATCAATAAAATCATAAACTTCATTTTGTATTCTGATGTTTTATGATGATGATAACGATGGCAGATGAATTTATTAACGTTAAACTAGTACTTACGTATATATTCATATTATATGAATAAATTATATCTTCTAGTTATAATTATTTTCATTAAGAAAGAGTTAGGCTTTTATCAAATTCCTTCGTACAGTTTTGCTATTTACTGAGATTAACTTAACAAAAGTCAGATCCCTTAGTTCAATGGCGAAATATTCAAAATGATTGAGTAAAATTTAGATATCAACTAGACAGTTTGTTTATTCTGATTGGCGTTCTTTTTAACAAAGTTGGTTTCCAAGGGATGGAGTTGCTGACCCCATGTCCAACTCTCCTCCTTTACCCGGGCTTGGAACCGGCACTAGCTATAGAAGATGTACAGGCCGCGCTTACCTCGTGATGCAGTTTGATGTGTCACGAGGCAAGAGCTTACTTGGAATCCTGAAGGGAAACGGAAAATAGGAAGATCAAAGAACACACTGCTTTGGGAATCGGAAAGAGACATGAAAAAATTAATAGCTACTGGAAACAACTGGAAAGGACTACCCAGGACAGAGTTAGATAGAGAATCCTGATGACAGGCCTATGTTCCTCCATGAGGAGTAACAGGAGTAAGTAAGTAAGTAGTCAGTTTGTTATTTTTGCTTAAACCATAATAATCACACTTATGGGGTCTATCTGATAATGAAATAATATGTTTTACACCGATAATTTTATGAATGCAAACTATCAGCGTAAATCATTGAACCTAAATTTCATACTAACTGTGAAGAATTAACAAGGGATATCTGTAATTTTGGGGGAATTCAAATCTATATCAAATGATAATACCACACTCAAAGATGTTATTGTTGGGCTAGTAGATTAATGACTGAACTCTTATGATATTCAATCGGTAACTGAATCGGTAGAATTTGTTACGCACTAAAAACTAAGCAAGCGGGTTACATTAAGTTATGAAACGTCGGAAATACAGCTTTTCTACTCATTTAGGTATAACAAAAAATATATCAGTTACTAAATCTCTACCCAAAGCTCGATTTATTTGAAACTAACAACTTCAATCTTGGCAGTGATACCTCTAAGCAACATCTTTTTGAATCAGTGATCAATAAGTGTGTTTACTAATAATCTCAATTTTGTTTACCGAACTTTTATTCTTTGTGTTAATGATTGAGTGACATACTTTTGGCGCAAACGATCAGTTGTGAATTGGTGTAAGTGCATGGTTTTCCGTGTGGCTGAAAGATTCCATTCTCGTGTGAAATAATTCACAATCATTCAGTTGAAATCTATAATCGCTGAAACCCTTCTAGTTTACATTCGGGACAAAATTTAAATTGAACTTGTCCACATTTTCCAGAATGTTTCACTTAAGTTTACTCAAGTCATCGTATTTCAATGATGATTTATAAATAAGTGTACTACGACGAAGTCCTATTTTAGATTACTTCTTCGTATATATTATTTCTAAAACTATTGTGGTGTGTACTACTTATATCGACATAAGTAGTGTATAACACTAATGAGGAGTAGAATGCTTGGAAACAGAAGGTTGAGAAGATCGAGGAGGAAAGAACGGGAACCGAAAGCAGTTGGTATGGAAATGCAGGAACAATGAAGTCTGAGACAATTAATGATTATTTCGCGAATGAAGTATTGGAGTATAATTTTTCTATTTTATCAAGTAACTCGGTAATTTCGTGCTAAATATAATCGGTTATCTTCACCTGTGTTCTTCACTACACTAATTAAGTAGAATAAAATAAATAGTGCTCGCTGATTATTTTAAGGGATGCAATTCAACAGTATTCAATAAGCTCTTTAAAAAAATACTTCTATAAATTGGTAAGATTTTTGATAACAAGTTGCAGATGGGAATTCGGGTTACCGAAATGATTTATTAGCTATATTGTTTGTTCTAACTAACTACAATGCATATTTCTATATAAAAATCATTCGCCGATATATAGAACTGGACGTCGGTGAGAAAATAAAATGTACGGATAGAGATTTAATTGATACCAAGAGCAGGTCAAAATCTATGTCCAAATACAATATATTTTACCAATTAAATCTAGAATCTAATTCACCGGAGTATAGGTCATCTCTTATTAATTAATGAAACATAGTATAAATTCATTTCAATACCATGATAAGATATGAATTGGCATGTCCAATAAAAACTAGTTACTAAGTCACATATTTGATCGATTTACAAATAATTATTGGTTATTCCAAACGTAGATTGACACAATTAGCTAATAGTGTTTTAGCATTTACTTTTGTTAAAAGTAAAATAATACTATTTAGATATTTTGAAATATAAAGCTTCAAAGAAAGCAAATTGCATCATACATTATTAACATGAGCAACAACATTCCATAAATAATTATCATTTTAAACATTATAGAACATATTAATTTAGATGGTGGTTGGAGGTAGTCAACAGGAAACCCTGGACCCGGGTTTCATGCTACTTGGCACTCGTCAGCAAGGTGTACCTGTAATCTTGAGGGAACTGGTGCTCCCTTGCGGATTCGATCTCGTGTCACCCAGCTTCACAGTCAGAGACGTTACCACTGAGCTATCCGAGCCGTGACTAACCTCCTGTAGGACTGAGATGTAATCACAATTGATTGATCACTGGATGGTGATCAATGTCATGCTTGTCTAGTCCTTATTAGTGCAGATCGAATGCTATCAAATACTATCATCACCATCTAATCTCAATACATAGTGCCCGCAGTGTCGAGTCACCTAGACTGGTGGCCACATTGCAACATGATCGATAGCATTCGATCTGCACTAATAAGGACTAGACAAGCATGAGATTGATCACCACCCAGTGATCAATCAATTGTGAGAACATATTAATCTTATCATTGAAGAAATGACATTTTAACAAATATATTAAACTATGGAAAGTTGTTTTTTTCAAACTATTGTCATTTGGAAAACTATTCAAAACTGAAGAAAAACTTTTTGTAGCCTCATGTCTGACTCCAGTTTGGTTGTCTCTGATTGCTTTCGAGGTATACATGAAGAAATTTATATCCTGGTTATCGTTGTATGTAATTATCGACTTAATCTGTGTTAGTGAATGACGGAACTAAAATAAGTCAAATATGAGAAAGGATTTTGAATA